TAGGATCTAGCCCTGAATAAAGTTGGAGATTTTTTCTAAGTCTCTCTAACCATTCCGCAGGGGTTTCGTCCTTCTTGTGGTGTTCACTGAAGGCTTTGCTAATATTTGTACCCTAGGGACCGATTCTCTTATCTCCTGAACTATGATAGTCCTTAAGTCCTGCATATGGCCTCTATCCATTTCATTTTGATTATTCCAATTAGGTCTCTGGAGGGGCCACTTAACATCTGCTGCGGGACCTTGCTGATGTCACTGGTCCCAAATCCTTATTCCGGCCCTCCGGATCATATCCCTTTCTTCTGCTGTGAACAAAATACCCAATATGGCTTGCAGTTCATCCCAGGTGCAAACGTTGGGCCCCCAAAACTGGTCTACTCGTTCTGCAACTCCCAGGGGATCCTGTAATAAGTTACCCATTTCCTTCTTAAAGTCTCTAACGTCTCCTGAGTTTAAAGGGACAGAGACATATACCATACCAGGTTGCGCTCCTCCCACTGCAACCTCTCGGAGGGGATATAGATTACCCCTGCTTGTCCTTGCCCTACTTTGGCTCCGGGTCACCTGCCTGTTATCCTCGGGGGAACTAGGGGTAGTTTGGAGCTCTTGGAGGAGGAGAGGGCTGCGGCGGCAGTGGTGGTGGTATATAAAGGGGAGGCGAAATGGGGATTTCATCCTCACTCCGCGTCTTCTTCTTTGCCCCCCCTTTTTTTTTCTTTTAAAGGATATAAATTTGTCCTAGTCTCGGACCCTATCCATAAACTTGCATACTCGCTTTCCTCCAAACTAAATGGTTCCTTTGTGTTAACGTAAATATTTAAAGACTGGCAGATCCAGTCCTTAAAGGACCCAAATATGGGCCAATATAAATGATCACCTCTAATCTGCTTACCTCCCCAAACTTCCATACAATAATGTACCAGTTTTACTTTGTCCTTACCCCGCCTAGAAGGGTAGTCATCCCAATATTTAATCATCAATCCCAACGGACTATCCAGTGGTATCTGGGGTAGCTTAGCCTTAAGCTCCGACCCCCCCATGGAATCAGAAGGCTTGCTTTTCTTCTGTCCCATCTTCCAGAGTGCCTTCTCACACACACACAGTCTTTTTGCCCCCTGTTCGTGGCCCAGTCCCTCACGAGAGATGGGAACTGCACTACTAAGGGGTCTGCACTTGCTTCGTCCTTAATTGGATGTCACACAGGCACACTCCGGGATACCCAACCCCAACTGAACGGGTAACCGGCCTATACTTATGCACTCCTGCGTCTTCGGAGCTTCATGCACAAAGATTACAGGGTTGCCGGCTTTCTTTTGCTTGCTGTCGAATTTAGGATTCGTCAGTAGAGGCTATGGTGAGATAGCACCCAAGCTAGGGCCACTATACAGCGGGGCGACTCCCCTGTGTGGGGCTTCGCACCAGATTGCCTCTCTCAGAGTCACAGCACCAAAATTGTTATAAATGTGGCTCAAATAATTTGACAAGAGCCAGCCCAATGAATCAAATCGGTTTATTGAGCAAGCGACAGCAAGCAAAACAGCGCTGGGCGGCCGGGGAGTCTCCACTCTGCCAACGGCACGCACCCCGCTTCCCCAAAGTCACTGGTTTTATACGCTTCTTCATCCGATATATGTGTCACCTCCTGGTGTTCTCTGCGTCTGTGTGACCTGTAGATAAGGGGTCTCATTCTGTCTCCCGGTGGTTGTGGGGAGGAAGGCTCCTTATCGCCTTCCCCATACATCGTTTACTTTAACGGATACCTGCGGTCTGTAAGCAACATGTCAAAGCGCCGTAATTTTCCAGTAACTATTAAGCAAGCAAGTAACTCTAAGCAAGTAACTCCTAAGCAAGCAAGATTTGATTAACAAACAGGAATTTACTCATAACAGTGACCATTATTAGGGCTGTCATTGATCACAAAGTTTTATTTTTTTTGGAACATTTAGTGTCCATTGTTGCATCTGATGAATGTTTTTAATACAGTAGAGATGAAAATTTTTACAATTTTAGGCAATATTATTGACTACTTTTTGTACATTTTTCTTTAAAAAATTGTATTTCAGGTAATATGTTTTAAAATTTAGAATTTATCTACAGATGAGAACATTTCTCGCTTTTTGAGATACTTTCAAATCAGGTTTAGAGTGAGGAAAAGTCTGTATTAACATTTCCCTCCTTCCGACCTCTGTAGGGAACTGTCTTAGTTGCCTTTAAACTTACTCTGTCATTTTTTCTTAACCTCTCATGTAGTCAAACCTCAAGTTTTGTATTATTATGTGATATAAAACCTTTCTGTCCCTTTTGTGCTTTCCTGAACATCCTTAAGAACTGGTGTTAAGTAGAAACAATTCAGTCATGTCTATTTGAGCTGACAGCCTGAAACAAAAGATCAAAGACGACGGTGAAGTGTTCATGCTTTTCATTTCAATTCAATACTGAATTAACTCTGAAGTACAATGGTTTCAACTTCAGAAGTAACCATTTCCTTGCTGATAAAAGCAAACACAACATATCTGCTGTAGGGAGAGTTTAAGCAGTTGGGCTGCAGTTTCCCTATTTGAATGCTGTTGGTTTTAGGGATTTTAGCTTACAAGTAAGGGTAGTCTGCTATCGGGGCTGGATCTGTTAGCTCAGGCAGCCTAATGTTTCTCAACTCAGAGCATGTTCATGACCATCACAAGCTGTGGAAACTGAATGGTTTTTTACTATTAGCACTATTCTTTCTTACAGTGTACTACAGTTTCCAGAATCAGCTGAACTTAAAATAGTGACATATTTAACTGGGAAAATCCTCTGCTCTGTAATAGAAAGACTAAGTGACTTCTTTAAAATTAAAAATGCTGCATGTTTGGGTTTAATTATTATTTTTTCTTTAATTTGGGCTTGAGTCTTCTGACCCCTTTATTTAGATGTGATCTATGTTTTCCTTTTTCACTCAGAACAAAGATGCTTACGTTTACTGCTGCCTGGCTGGACCTTCCCTCTCTCCTGTCCTGTCAGGATAGGCCAAGAGCTCCGTGGGGAACTGGGAAGGAAGTTGCCTAAGTTGAACAAACTGCTACTTCAAAACAAACAAGAAAAAAACATCTTAAGTGAATTTAGCTAGCTGTTATAAGGATGAAGAGAGGCACTGTACACAGACAAACATTTAATTTCTTATGGGTGAAGTACAACTGGGTAAGGAAAAAGAACCCTGAGATTTCAGACTTTTAATGGGAATAGTTATAGCTATCAGTGAAGTACCAGAACAGACATTTTCTAAATTGTAAGATTATGTTGAGGAATAAAACAACCTTTCTCGATTATAATTTTACAAGGGGTCTTTGCACTTGTGTAAATAGATCAACTTTTATGAATAACTGGCAGATTTGCTTTATGAATTTACTTTTTCAAAAGAAAGTTTTCAGATTTTAATTTGCCAATTTATTTTATGGGCGTTTATTTGTATTCTGATTCCTAGTTTCTACAACATTATGACTGATTAAAACTCAATTTAGGGCTGCAGCCGAATACCTTATTTCCTACTATGTTTGATAATGTGTTTTTAGGACTACTTTGTTCCCTTTTTTTAGTACCAACAAATGCTTAACAGGAAAGCAAGCTTCAGGATAGACACTGCATCTCTTTACAGAGCAGTATCTTGGAAAGGCAGTTGTAGTTCTTGTCTTCTTGCTTAACTTCTCTGAAACTGGATGGTGAGAAAGCACAAATACTCTTCAGTCTAAATCTGTTGTCTGCAGTACGTTAGCAGTAGTGGCAGCTGCTAAAGCCCCCTGGAAAGCTGTCAGGCGTTCTGTTTGGTACTGCCAGTAGCATGGTGGGAGAGAGCAGTAATGGCTTTTATTCTTTTATTCGTGCAGTGCTAAATATAGCTTGTATTAGCACAGCTGTGGGGTTTTTTTGGTTTGATTTTTTGTGTGTGTGTGTTTTGTAGTTTGTTATTTTTTTTATTTTTCCTCCCCGAAAGCAGCACGGTGATCATCAAATTATATCTGGCCTCTCTGACTGCTAAATAAGAATATATAAACACATTTTTCTTTGTAGCTTAATGCAGCGTGTGATGTGATTCTCTAACCAAAGCACAGCAGCAAAACTGATAAATGCTACAGATGTTTTGTCATCTGATACGAAAGACTGGTGATGTTAAAGATAAGTAATTAGAGATTAAGTAGAATTAGAATTGCCTGTTACAAGAAAGGGATGATTGGGGAAATTCAGATGTGTGGTGAAATAAAGAAGCAATATTAGAACCAATTCTACCTGTTCTTACTAGAGAATGCTTGCAGCATCCTGTGTTTCTGTCTTCCCCTTCAAAACATCAATGGCAATTTCTTCGTACTTATTAGAATCCATTAATATAGCTTGAAAACAAATTTGAGAGGACTCAGCTGCTAGCTGTAAGTTTCTGGAAAGTTCTTCCATGTGGCAAGGAAATGAAGATCACCTTCCATCTAACAGTTATATTAAAAATGCTTGAGGAGTACATGCAGCCGAAGAGTTTGTACTCTTCTCAGTGCCACCCTTCTGCCTGCAGGATCTTCCTCTGCACTGCCCACCTCCTTTGCTTCTGTAGAAATTAAGCTCAGTGTGCAGCTATCTACCTATTAAACTGCCTTTAAAAGGAGCATGGAGGCTGAGTAAAGAATAAAGCAGTCTGTGGCCTCTCTGAGCTTTTGGTTCCAGGCATAATAGTGACCGTGGTGCCTGCTGCTTCAAACTTGCATCTTTGCACTTGGTCCAGGTTGTTTGTTATGCTCTTTAGCAGCTCATCTGTAGGAAACTATAGCTGTGTGACACATTGAGATTCTGTTGATGTATTCTGTACAGTAACAGCACTAACAAATAAAGCCTTTATCTGTGATTGAAATCCCATGCAAATACAGCTCAGCTGTGCAGCTCGGGCTCCTGGCTGCCTGCCACAGTTTGTCTTGTGGTGCTTGTGGATCTTGTGTGCATGCTGCTGTGCAGTTACAAAAAACCCTTTATCACTCCTGTTGTTTCAGGTAGCTCATGTGGAGGGAGCAAGCAGTGCATACAGACCTGAATTGGGAGCTAAATTCTAGGTGTGCTTGATGGATCTACATATGTGGCACTATGCGATTGTAATGGTAAGGATTGTTGTGTTTTTCCATGAGTAAGCATTAATTTCATTTACTGTTTCTGCAGACTTCCTCAAGGAATAAATAAGGTGTGCAAACTTTAAGGCAATTAATTTTCTAGCAGGAGCTCTTTTCATTTGTGTAGCTGTCATCAGCGGAAGAATAACATCAGTGTTTTTGTTAAAGCCATCACTTCTGTTGCATTGGGGAGGGAGAAGGTTTTGGAACTGGTATCACTTTACACAGTGTGCCTCCCCACCTTGAAGAAAAAGTTACATGTGTTAGATTATTTTTTGTAAGACAATGACAGATGTGGGGGCTTTGCTCATAATACAGCACACCATTTCTCCTTTGAAGGCTTTAGCTATAAATGGCAGTTTAAACTGCAGAGAAGCAGTGTTCTTTGATAATTCTGTATTCCTCACAAACAGTGTGAATTTAAATAAAGCTTTACCTAGCCATACAAAGGTGAGTGTAAAAATGTATTATCAAAGGAAACTGGGAGTACTCACTGGGCTGGCAGGAGTAACTGTTACAGTAAATCTGGTTTGGGTAGAGAAAATAAGCATTGAAGTCTCAAGCTTAATTTTCAGAAGACTATGTGTATCTGAAATCAATATTCATATTTGTAGTGCACAAACAGATTGCAATTTCCACAGTTAAAACTAAACTGGTGATTGCCTGATCATTGGATACAATTTAGTTTAGTTTACTTAAAGTGCAGTTTAGACCATGGAGTTTTCAATAGTGAAATTCCCCATGTTCCTCTTTCCAACTTCTCTCAAATTGCTGGGACATATTTGTATTTTATTATCACACAGCAGTTCCTACTCCAACTTTCCTTTCCTTAGATTAAAACATCCAAATTTAAGTTTGCTGTTGTCATCGGTGAATCCCCTAGACTGAATACAGAAGAATGGGAATCTCTGTCCTCAGGGCACTGTGAGCGCAGCCCTCTTGAGCAGGCATGCTGCCAGCATGCACTGGCAGTTTCATGGATCGCTGTACCAGGTTATGTCTTGATAGAAAGACAGATGTCACTAACACTATAAAAATTTTGCTGAGACGGTGATCTGAAAGGCAGTCTAAAATCCAGGTTTGTCATCTCTGTTTTTGTGACAGTAAGATTTTACTGGTTCAGTTAAAAACCCTGCTAAAAGTGTTCTTAATGTCAAAGGTATCAGTGCTGTCCTTTCCCAGTGTTAAAGTCATGTATTGCAGAAGAGCCAGAAATGACTCATTAAATAAAAAGAGGGAACATAAGCATAGGAATCTCTTTGAACCTGGGGAAAAGACAAATCTGTTTTCCTGCTGGTGCAGAGATTATGCTGTATGAGTTGTGCCCTTGTTGACGCGGGAGTCACGGACAACACAGAGATGATCAACGTGATCAAGCGATTGCCAAATTTATTACAAGGCCTTAACTCCTTATATACTATTTCTTACATGCACTTACAGTGATTTGGCATATTATGATTGGATACATGTCTTGAAGACCCTTAGTAACTAACATATAATTGGTTAAGCACAGGTGTGAGAACTTGACCTGGAAAGCTTGCCAACAGTCCACAGTTCTCATTAACTCAGTGAATTCCAGCTTCTTCTTATCTTGCTTGCGTAAGCTTCTTTGGGCCTCTCATGGCCTTGCTGTATCTTTCAGGATTATTCAGAGTTTATGTACTAACTATGCATTCTCCCGTGAGAACACTGTCTCCACATCTCCCCCTTTTTGTTTTATATATGTTTTGGGTGACCCTACTTGAGCAGGGGATTTGGGCTCGATCATATCTCCAGTATATGCTCACTACAGGCTGCTGGGCCTGCCCTTTTTTCTGCTGTATGGCTCTCTGATAACAGGGGAGGCCATCCTTCACATCAAGGTGTGGCATGGCATGTGTCCCCACCGCTCCACGCCTGCTGGGTTGCAGCCAACAGCGGAGCTAAAGGTTCTTCTTGGTGGCAAACACAGAGGCCAACCCAGTCTTGCCCTTGACTGTGGTAACAGGCATTTAGTCAGCCTCAGTCCTTGCACCTTGTTGTCAATGCAGAGTTTCACCTGCTTCATCCAGTAACAAGTTGCTACTACAGCAAGGCACACACAAATTTACATTAGCAGAGTAACTATTACAGGGTGCAGCAGCATGTTGAAGATGCTGATGGCAGCGAGGGACTAGCCAAAGAAATTTCTTACCAGTGGAATTCTCCCCCCCTCTTAATTTGTTCCATCACCTGCTTTATAACACTACCATTGTATTAGAATCTTTCCAGCTTTTGCCTTAGCATTTTCTAGCAGCTACTGCAAATTTCCATACTCTAACATCTCTTTTACAAGTGACAAATCTATACAATACAAGTCATAGTTCCTCATTAGCAACTGGCTAGTAAATACAGGTGGTTTTATACACAAAATCACAGCCTCTAATAATAGCTACTTTACAAGCACACATACTCAGGATGTTACTTTTCAGTTGCCCCCAAGTGATGTTTTGCAATCATTCGTTTTTCTCTTCCTCTATCTCACTCTGCTTGGGGTAATCACGGTCAGCTCCTGTAGCCGAGACATCAGGTTTTTCCATTCGTCTGTCAGCTCATGGCAAGGCTTGACAAACTTTGCAGGCAGTCGCCATGGACCTGTAGGCAGGAGGACACAAATATACCCCTCCTCCAGGTTATCAGTTCTTGAGAAGTAGACAGGTTAAACTGCACATCGTTAACAGTCAAGGAGTTTGCTGCATCATTGCCTCTTTTTTTTTTTCTTTTTTTTTTTTTTTGTTTTCCTGCCACCCTGATGCTGCTCAGGTGACGGCTCATAAAGCTTGTGGTTGCACTACCCCTCTCACTTTCTCAGTTAGCAGTTCTTATTTCCTCCTATCTATTTATTCCTCCAGGTCTTGGATTCACCACCAGGTTACCTTAAACATACTAAGCAAGGCTCCTACCATGCACCTGCACTGTGTTGCAGGTGCTCTTTAGGCTTTGTCTGTGGTGTCTCTACAAACTGCCTCAATACCTCAACAGATTGAGAGGTTGGCTTTGGGGTTTTTGTTTGTTTTGTTGTTTTGTTTTTTTTTTTTTTTTGTTTTTTTGTGTTTTTTTTTCCTTCACTCCTTGGCTCTGGCATCCATCCTGGCCGTTCCACTGGTGGAGCACTGGGAGCTGAATTGGAGGTCAGCTTTTTTTTTTTTTTTTTTTTTTTTTTTTTCCCCAAAAGTCGCTCACCCTGCTTTGCACAGCTACAAACGCTGGCCTGCTCGGCAGCAGCTATAAAAGCCTGCCTGCTCGGCAGGAGCTACAGCTGTCTGCCTGCTTCAGCAGCAACCATAAATACCTGCCAGCAACTGCATTTTTGTATTAAGCCTTTCTTGCCCGAAATGTTAAACTGCTACCGGTTAAAAACTTTCACATGAACCCAACAACAAACAATACACAGAACACCGTCTGCCCTCAACACACACCCACACGTATGGGATCCCACAAGCACACTCCACACAACTACAATATTTGAAGCACAAAATCCAGACAACCATTACTCACAGTACAGTCCCACGTACAGAATTGGCACAAGGACCTTGTGGAGACTAACAGCAAACCAGCTCCGAGAAGCATCATTGCAGTGGGAGGTGGCAGGCTCAACCTTAGCGGGCATCCCCGCAGAGGCTCTGCCTCCCCCACATCATATGAGGCTTGGGCTTTTATACTGACCAAAATGCACACTCATTCCGACACAGGCGGCCAGCCTATGTTGGAAGAAATGGCCAGCAATATCTATAAAGGTCTCCAAAGGTTGATAGAAACCTGGACATACTTATATTTACCAACTTCTAGTACATGACTATCACAGAGAAACTGTATTAAATGAGTTGTATATGGGCTCCCAAGTCCACGGTCCATCACAGTATGCCCAATACCCCTGATAAGAGCATAAGAGAGACCTTTCCACCACCAGAAAATCACACAATACGTTTGTATCCCATGCTGGTCTCGCTTCCCTGGAGGTTCGGGGGGGGGGGGGGGGTGGGGTGGGTTTAACATAAAAAGGGTTGCTTCCTTCACTTTAAGAAGGACTGAAAACATCCATAAAACGGATGTCATGAGCTCAAATTTCAATTCATTCAGTCACTGACAAGGGGGGTGTCCTGGGGTGATGCTGACTGTTTCCAGGGTTTCACCCATTGAGCTGGCACTCACTGCACACCAGAATATGTAATTTACACACATATAACCTCGACCAGTTAGTTTTACTTCCACAGGACCTTTCCAAATGCTGGTTTCCAAATCCTTGTACTGGACCAGAATACCCGGAGTTTTAGTCATATAACCTGAACCTAATGCCTGACCATGTATTGTAGCAGAGGAGTCATTAAAGTCTCCTATCAATCGCAAAAAAAATCATAAGAGGATTTTAACCCATATGTGGTCACTGTTTGTCAGGCCTCCTTAACTATTTTGAGATCAAAAGCTTCCCACTCTTTAACCCCCTGCTGTGTAGTAAACACAGGATATGCAGAGAGGCCCATTGCAGAAAATTCACCATTAATAATCGCATCTTTGATTAACCCGTGCCAACAGTGCACAGGATTTGTGCCCCCCGATACCTCTCCCACCCCCTCCCCCTGTTTGCCTTCTTTAAGAAAGGGTTTTACTGAGGATAAGGTGGAGGCGCCGATGGAGATGTCTCAATCTGAGTCTCAAGGGCTTCAAGCTTTTTCATCAATTGCTGCAGCTGAGTGTCTCCAAGGCCAGTGAGTAGCTGCTGATGAGCTGAGCAGACCGACCCGGGAGACGAAGAGTCAGAGTCTGGAAGCAGAGGATATAAATCTGGCTCAGATTCAGGGGACTCAGGGTCTGATCCTGGGTTGAACTCAGGGTCTCCGTTGCTCGTAGCTATGCCTTTCTTGTCAGGTGTCTCTCGTTTGGTATGTGGCCATCTGTGGACCTGGCTCTTGCTTTCATCGGCTCGGGGCATTGATC